CAAAATGGGAAAATTAATCGCGTGGGGAGCATTTGGGTAAGGATTGAAGGAAGATCCTAAAAGAAGAAAAAAGAAAGAAAGAAAGAAAGAAAAAAGGGGGAAATGGATTTTACTGTATTGGAACTTTCTCTATAATAGAGAGAAGCCAAGAGGGGAGAAAGAGAGTAGGGATTTTAAGGGAGGGTAGGCAAAAAATTAGTTTGTGTGTGTGTGTTTTGTTTTTGGGTAATTAATTAAATTGGATTGGTTTAGTGAAGGTGGCATTACAAACGGATGACCAATCCATGGCTCCTAAATTTAAGGCTAAGGTTGGGATGTTTGGTTTGATTTGGTTTGACAGCCAATTCAATTCATAGTAAACTCATTTTCCAAACCTTTTTTCTGTTCAGATATTTATTCGTATTGCTGTTGTGTTGTTCTTACAAGATTCTTTCAAACTTTCTAAATTTTCCAACTTTTCTCTCGCAGCAGCACCACATTTTGCTTTGACTCTTCCCTCTACACACTACTTACGTAGGATAGGATAGGAACTCTTCTATTTTTTCCCCCTCAAACTACACAGTTTTCACAATTCAGAATGTAATGTAATAAACCATGTGGTGTTCAATCCGATTTCGATATAAAAATTAACTTTTGTTATATGGGTTTGTATTGTGAAAACATGGACGATAGAAACTTGAATATTTTTAATTTGTATTTGGCTTTAGACTTTATAAATTTTGAGTTTGATATTCTTGTAACATGCTGAGCTAAATATTATGTTACATAGACAATCTTTTTTTTATCTCGAATTATATAAATCTAGTTGTGAGTGGTTCATAATAGTTTTATAAAGTTTCTATTGTTACATATTAATATTCATCAATAATTAAATATGAGTTTTTTTTATTTAATTTAAGAGTTTCAATTTTGAGAGTTATTATCAAATTGCAAGAGATAGAAACGTATTTTAAAGAGGAGTTAACAAATTTTTTTATTTTTTTATAAGTTACTTGTGCATTTTTACCTCTATAATTTTTATCAGTTTTAACCTCTTAACTAAAGACTGGTGACAATTATTTTTTAATTACGGTATTACAAATGGTGAATATTTATGGAAATAAATGGCAGACATGCAGAAGCATCATGGGTTCCACAAACTATAATTTGAGAGATTCTATTGACCTTCACTGGACAGTACTGGTTTTAATTAACAATTTTTTTTTAAACAAATTAACAATTTATTTTAGCTGCCCTTTCAAATCTCCATTATAATTTTCTTTTTCCTTTTTCTTTATTGCAACTCCACACCCACAAATCTATGGAAACTCAAAATGTCAATAACTTCTTTTTTTTCTGAAAGGAATTATGAAAAGTAATTCGTGTCTAATTTGGTTAAATTTTTGTCTGATTTAGAGTTATCATTACTCGGTAGAATTAAATTGATGATTAGAAAATTGATTTTAATTTGTATTCTTAGATCAATGTCATCTATAAAAGATCCGAATTGCATTGTTCTGATGATGCTAATTAGCCATGTTTGGAATAAAATGTTTTGATTTCTCAAGTTTTTTCCCTCGTGATTATGCATCATTATTTAAGATATTCATTTCAATAGACTTCACAAATAATATATCATGAATGTATATGAATATAAATTGTTTAGATATAGATTTATTTTTTTAGTACAATATGTGGGGTGGAGGATCGAACTCACAACCTCTTGATTTGAAGTATATGTCAATAATCTTTGAGCTATGCTCGTTTTGATATTTAGATATAAAACTTAAAATAGTATGCCGTGGCCGTGCCTAATAATTTAAAAGATTATGTCATATAAGGACTTTTTTAAGTTCATCAACAATCTAAAATTGGGCTTTTCTTCAGAATTAAGTTGGGCTTTTGAATCAGGCTGAAAATTCTCGTTTTAGACAGAACCAAAGGCCCCCACCCTGTAAACGTGGCATTGACATATGTGTTAATCAACGAGTGTATTGAAAATTTTGCACGAGCATAATATGGAGAAATTCTGTGAGATGCAGTGAAAAGAATAAATGTCATGATAAACATAGTTCCATTGATTAAAAATTTTTTTATCAATCCTTTTCTTTGTTTGACAAAGGGAGCTTGAAGATATTTTTATTTGGTTTTTACTTTTTTAAGCGTAATACAAAAATACGATGCTTACTATATTGACACACCTGGTATGAGGTTAAAGATCTGATCTCCTCGTCACATTTTTAAATTAAGGAAAAAAAAGACAAAAATATGGATATAGCAGGTCGTGGGGGCTTATCCTTGGTGATGGAAAGGGCACAGCTAAAATTTTGCAGGTCTCGTACTTCGAATAGAATGATTATATAGGTGGAAGAAAATCATCCTTTACGGGCATAAAAGCAAATTGGAGATTCGATTGGTAGTTAATGAGATTAAGAAAAATAACTAAGATAATTAGATTGAAGGTTTTCTACTCATCCCGTGTGAACAGAATGGATGGTAGATTCAATCATTATCAAATAATCTTCAGAGATGTATCATGAAATTTGAACTCATTCCATCTCTATCATTTTGATTTACTTTAGCCCCTCTGAACCAATGAATCAACGATAGTTGACCAAAGTAAATATTTTGAGACTACAATGGTTAAAATAGATAAAGTTAGAAATTATATGGATTAAAATAGATATTAAAAAATATAAAGACTAAAAATAGATTAAAAAAATTGTGTAATAGTATAAACAAAATTTGTATTTAGACCTATAGTTAGTATTAATTTTAACACGTGCCTTTCACGTGTATCTCAATTTTATTTTTATACTTTTAAAAAGTGGAGCATCTCTCAAATAATTTATATTTACCAGAAAATAAATGATCTATAAAATAGTAAGCCATCATTTTTCAATATAATTTGATAATTATTAACTTTTATGATTATTTGTGTTGGGTAGATGAGAGTTGATGAGTTTTAATAGGTGTTTAATTTTTTAATATTAAAAAAAAGATAATCTAAGTATTACATATAAATTAAAAAAAAAGATAATTTAAATATTACATAAAAATTAAAAAAAAAGATAGTTTAAATATTACATTAAAAAAACCAAAGTTAATATGCAAGTATATAATATCGATCATATAAATTATTAATTTACGCATCTCTAATATGAAATAAAAGTATTAATATTTTGTCAAACTTAAAGAATTGAAAAAGTTTCAAAATATTGACAACGTAATTTAACTAAAAATAAAATTAATGCACGGAAATTTAAATTAAAGAATATTTTTAAGATTACTTATAAAATAATATTAAAAATAATGAAGAATAATCGGCATGCGCACATAACTGGGAAAAAAAAGATTTTCCTTAAATGTCAATTAAATATTCTTATGTGGTGGTTAAATTAAATATCAAATCAATTGCTTCATAAAGAAGGTAGCCGTTTCTTTTTTCTTTTTTGAGATATAAAAGAAGGCGGAAAGTCTATTGAAGTTTTCGTCACCAAAATATACGATTAATAAGGGCCCAATTTCCTGGTAATATATTACTCCGTCAAACCATCACGTGCTTACATCACGTGGATTCTCTCTTACCAATCTCAATCTCCATGCAATTGCAAGGTTTACCTTTTTTACCTTTTTAACCCACCGTTATTTGCCGGCGAAGCCATACAATTTTGTTAACAAAAATTTCACTGTTTTGTTTGTTGAGGGCTTAAACAAGTTTTTTATTCTTTTAGACAAAATAAAAATCATATTCAAATGTATTCGGGTTGAATTTTTTGTAGAAATTACCACTTCTAAAACTTCTAAAATCACACATGTATGAATAATTATTTCAATATACTCTAGTAATTAATATTAGTTTTGACAAATATTCATACCGTAATTTTACAAGTAAAATTTTTATTTGTGATTTGAAACACTCAAAAACGATAAAAAAATTTTAGTGATGGATGATTTTTGGGAGGTTCGGAATGAATCATTTGTTTTCAAAATTAATACATTTGTATTAAGAACTTGTTTAATATAATTTATTTACATTAGTTTATTTATTTCATAACTAAAAAAAACTAATATTTTTGAGAAAGAAAGAACATAGGAGAAAGCCGAGATATTTCATAATCTAGTCAGTTTTGTAGAATCTTTAGTGGGAGAGAAATAATCATTCCTTCGACAATGTTTACGGATCTTAAACTTCAACTTTTGGACGATATTAAAATTATCGTCTCGTCTTGATTGTTTGTATCGCTCTTCTTTTGTAACTATGATATCTCTATCATTTCTCTAAATTTGAGCGCTTTCATTTTAATACCATTTTAGTATGTTTTTCACATACTTCTATTAATGAATGAAATAGTAGTCTTTATCCTCTTAATTATTTATCAATTTCATTCTTTAATTAATACATAACTCTTATTCATTCCTTAGTTTCAAAACCCACAAGTTGAAAATTTATATTAAGTTTTGATTTTGACGTTGTTCCTCAACGAACTCAATTTCAATTCATGTGTCATGAGGGTTTAAAAATCTCTATAACTTATTCATAAAGAGGGAAAGAAAAGGGAAATAAGTCACATCAGGAACCGGTAACATATTGATATATGATAATGTTATTGTTAATTATGTCCCCTAAAGGAAGGCAAAAGTCCTCTAATTAAAAGCAAATTTAGCCGAAAAAAATAAAGTTAACATCCAAAAGGCCGCAAAAAACCAATACACAATAGGATAGGACTTCGTCAGAGAGAGAGTCTCTTTATATTGGGCGTGTTTGAAGGGGCTTTTTACTCATGAATCGTACAGAGTCGAGCAAAAAAAATATTTAAAGAGTCAAAAATATAACTGGGGAACGGCCCTCAGCTCATACTATATGCTCCCTTTTTCTCTCTTTTTTTTTTCTTATTCTTCTTTGTTTTAATTTTCAGTCTTACATTGAGAATGAAATTAAATATGCAACGAATTCGTTCTTGTTTTTTGAATTCTTTCCCATCAAACTTTCCTTGAAATTCAAAGCCTTAACCCATTGGTCCTTGTTCAAACTGCTACTCTCTCTCTCCATATTTCTGCCCCATTTATATATATATACTCTTCTCGGCCATTCTGATTTCTCTCACACAAGTACAAAAAGTACAAGTTCATAACAAAGGTTTCGAATAAACAACTCTCTGTTGCCTTCTAACTTTTAGCGACAGCCTCGCCAAATGCAACGTTATTCGGCAGTTGTTGCCAGAAACTACCTGTCGTCGAGGATCCTGAGCCGGCGGAGCGACGTCCGGACCATGTCCCGGCGGTGC